TCTCATTCTACGTAGTGAGCTCGTTCATTCAGAACGTTAAATCAATGAGCGTTATTTTTGGCGCAGACCGACGTCTGCCTGCGGCCGTACGCACGTACATAACCGCTCTTACGCAAAAATCTCACGTATTTGAACTCGATGCTCCGTCTGTGACGTATCAAATACGTCAACGATTATGTTATGACTTAGACGTATCTTTGACGCATACGACGAAAAAAGATTGAAGAGTCAGTGTATAAATAGAATTCTTTAAATAGAATTTTTTTCTGTAAAGTGCGCTAATGAACACGCGAGAGTTTAATCCGTAAATAAATTGTCATTTTATTTCAAGTAAGATAAAATTAGATAATAGAATTGTACGTTAATAAAGAATAATATGTTAATAAAGAATATGAATAGATTATAATAGATTAAGAGAGGTACAAAGATGTGTATTATAAAAATAAATATAATTATTGATCATTAACAAGTTTTCTACAAGTTTATTGGAATATACATACATGCCATGTAACTACATATAAAATATTTCCTGTCTTTTTATTTATATTCTTAAATTGCTTATTAAAAAAATTTTTTTAAATAATTTTCTTATACTGAATTGTCAATTTTGTAGAAAAGCCAGACATGGTTCTAAAATTTTATTAAAAGAAATGGAAAAGAAAGGAAATTAAAATATAATACATCTAAAATATTAACAATTTTTTCTTTTGTTTTATAAGTATCACTTTATAAACATCTTCTAACATTAATTATCTACAAGAGATAAATATCAAAGAAAGTAAAATTAAATAAAAACTTATAATAGTTATTATCTTTATAAATATTTTTTACTTTAAATTTTTTACTTTAAATTTTTTATTTACGCTCACAAATTGGTGATTTAATTTAAGACAATTTTTGTATTCGTATTTTATCGTACAATGAGATATAACATGACTGTATATGTATATTCTAAAATTGTCACTAATCTGTTCTAGCCTATCCATTTTAAAGTATTGAATCTAAAATAAAAATTAATTTATCACTCACCGATACGATGTGCAACAACGGAGTTGTAGACTATGTTGAAACTACGTTGATCTGTAAATAAAAATTTGGATTATAGAGCAGCGTTCTTAAAATAATTCATATTTCAAAGAATTGATATAATTATTGCGTGAATTTAAGTTTTGTATTTTTTTTCGAATAAATATATATTTATTGAAATAATTATATAAACCACAGATACGCGACTGGATCTGAACGAGGCTTTTCAATCTGGCCTGGGTTGCGATGATTTAACTCAGGATCTTGAATCGATTTTCTAAAGAATTTATTATTTTACACTTGAGATATATGCGTTTCATTAATTAATGCTCGCAATGCTCTACATAGAAACCTTTTTTTCTTGTTTATCAAATGTTAAATAAAGACAAATAATACTCATGTAATCAGTCCTTGAGTCAAGTAATCACACCTTGGACGCAAACGAACCGATTTTTTAACAGATCGATATCAGGTCATCTACTGAGAAGCGAATCATTGCAACATTTACATCAAATAATAATAGAGGCATGCATACAAAAAAAATATAGTTTTATATTTAGCTACCACTGCGGCATAACCTCAAATTTCACATTTGCCAAAAAAAATCTAGTTGCGTTTCCCCGAATTATAAACTATGAACTATAAACTACAGGGCCACATAAAACATACAATTTAATGTTTAAATAATTTCTAATATTGTAGTATCTTCAAGTATTCAAATTTTAATCATATAATAAAAATAATAAATCGCGCAAATACTTCACACCTATACAGCACAAAAGATTAAAGCAATATTGCTACAATGTTGCAATATTACAGATTGCAATGTAACATTGCAGAGATATTACAGAAATGTAAATTAACAATATGCCTGCAAAATGTCAGTAATATGCTTGTAATATATTCCACAAACATTGCAAAACTTTAATTTTTTAATTGTTACAATAATAATAATATAAAAATATAAGTTTTTACAATATTTATGTAGTACAGTCTTTTAATTTAACAGCCATTTTTATGATATAAATAATAAATACAATAATTCAAATAATTAATAAAATAATTAATACAATTCACTTTATATTTAAATAAAAAATTTATTGATCTATTATTTGACGGCCATTTCATTAGCTAAGTTTTATATTTATTTTAAATATGAAATCAAAAGATTGTATAATATTGAGTTTGGATATAATCAATGCATCATTATCAGATAAAATGATAAGCAATTAAACTGCTAATTTATCGAAATATTAATTATGTGATCGATGATGTATTTATGCCTGATGTGAATGCAAGAATAAAGCCAGCGCCCGAACTTTATTGATAAATTTCATATCGTCATTTTTTAATAACTCGGAGTGGTTCCGAATTAAAAAGAATCACTGCGATTAACTTAATCCATGATTAACTTATCAAACGATTATATTATTATATTAATGATAATATTTAATAATAATGTTTGTGTTCGGGGGAAGAGGGGGACACATACATACATGCTTTATCCTCACAAATAAATTTATCCTTCAGAATTAATATATTTATTGGAATATTTTATGATTTTATCAAAATTGCTTTTGGAAAACATATATCAGAAATGCAATTTGTAGGAAAATTAAAGTTAATGAGATATATATATATATAGAAATAATTTCCATTTTAGAGCCTTCGTAAACAAATTTATCCAAATACATTACATTGCACTATTGCTAGAACATTTTGTTGCAATATAATAAAAAGCAGACATCTTAACATTGTTGGAATTTCGCAACAATGATTCAGCAACGTTTCACAACCACCATGCAATATTGCAATGTTTCAGTAAAATTATTCTGCAATTTTTCTGTACTGTATGGACAGTTGCTCCATCGTTGTCCGATTTCTTTCAATCTCCTTTCTCTCCCTTGTTACTTCTTCATTTCGTGACATACACACACACACACACACACGCGCGCGCGCGCGCGCGCGCGCGCACGCGCACACATGCACGCACGCACACACACAAATATTCACTCACGAAATTAATGACAACATTATCCGTATTATTGTTAGACTGTATAGCTTTTCTCGACTTTAATCACATACGATACGCATTTTATAATATCGCCTGATAATCTATAATTATTCATAGAGGATTCTCCTCTATGAATAATTACAGATTACGGAAACTTGGAAGAAAGAACTTATCAATCAACTATTAGAACTTACAATCACATTCCGAGAAATAATACAATGAAGTACGAAGCGACCCATACCGTTACCTGTGATCTCCCTATCTGCTTGATTTCTACGAGTGATAATAAACCGTACATACATTACAAATGGCGACGTACGCCACGCGCCACCGAATTAAAATAATCGCGCATGTTCCTTGCCACTCATCAAATCGAATAATAATGCCCGTTCTCACCAATGTAGATTAATCTAATCTTAATTCAATGTATTCTTTATCTTTTTTAGTTCTAAGAACTAAAGTTTCTAGACAAAAAAGAGGAAGTTAAACGCAGATAAAAATTAATTTTAATTTTAATTTAATTGATGACATAAATGTATTATACGTAAGTAAATCATGAGTAACTTTAATATATTTCACCTTGATTTTTAAAGGTAAAATTACATATTTGAATATTCAACAAGAATTATTGTAATATATGTATATCCGAATGAAATAGTAATTTATAATAATCTTTAGTTCCTAAGCTAATTTTTGATCTTTATTTTAGAAGAAATTCTTATTTTAAATAAATCGTACAAAATATTTACTGCAACTAACGTTCGTCATTTTAATACGAATCGTCTCTTTCGAATCGTTAATTATAGAAGAGAATTAGTCACGAGTTGATAATTATTTGTACTTATGTGTAAATTATTTATAGTTATCTGTAATTCTCTTGTAATTATCCGTAAGGAATAATAAATGCATTTAAATTCTTTATCTGTCTCGAGAACGAGAGAAAAAGAGAAAGAGACGTTTCGGGAAGAATAAATGCTTGTACGAAGAATCAGCTACCACTATTGTCGGTTAGATTTTCGTCTTGGAAATGATAACAAATTGCGTGTACAGCAACGACGCAACGCGCGACGCGACGGGATATACGTTACAAAAGTCAAAACAAGCATCGCACACAGCGTGCATTACAAGTGAACTATTATCATTCTCAAGGTGAGAGCCAACTGGCAGCGAAGGCAGGCCGCCGTTTCATCGCATGTCATTATATGTAATTTCTCGAAACGTGATAAATACTAATAAATTGCAATAGCGATTAGTCTTTACAAACAATTATGAATTATCAACTTTCAATATACCTATAATAAAATACATATACATATATGATTAAAGTCAAGAGTATCGTAATATCATATTTTATCACTTCGTGGCTCATCACGAATTATTTCTCGAAATATACCGTGATAGAAGTACTAATAGATTCCAATCGTGATTCTTATGAACAATTATGAAGTATCATTTTACAGTAAAATAATAAACAGTGAGAGCAAAAAGCATTCGTATAAGAAATTTTTTTAAAAAAAGTCTTATTTGTAGAAAATAAACATTAATTAACAATTTTATACAATGAATACATTCTGTTCTAAGGAACCTCGCATATATTGCTGATAGAAGCTAAATTTCTCGACTGTACGAATACTTTTTGAGCATCCAAACAATAGAATTTTTAATTTTCTCTTATTTTTCAGATAATATATTTTGTATAATTAATGCACATTTTTTTGGTGTATATAATTTTTAAGAAACATACGGTCTATTATTTTTTATGAATAAATTGTTAATTATCCAACAAGAAATGATCGTCAATTAAACGTCGAATCGACATCAAATTGATATTGAAATCATCGTATCAATGTCGATTCAACATCAATCGATGACTCATTTCTTGGTGGATAATATTTACTTTTTAAAAATAAAGTTTTTTTAAAAAATATTTTCTCTATGAATATCTTTTGCACTCATTGTATATATTATAAGTATAATATAATAATTTATATAACATAACGCATATAAACAAAACGCATATTGTACGATTAAACCAGAAATACTACATAATTTTGTTCTATTAATACAGACAGTTATAATTAACAATATTTTCACAAATATGTTTTATAAATGTTACGAAGAAGCAACAAGAGAAGAACAGGAAGGCATTGTGTGACAATCGTGAGATAAGTATGATTTATTATTTTTATTATATATATGATTCAAATTTTTACTTGGAGATTACTATTTGATCATTTA